AAAAAAAAAAAAGAAAAAAAAGAGAAAATTGCTACCAAGAAGAATTTGAACGAGACGCGCGCGAATTCAACGCAGCCGGTTTCCGACGACGTTCTTTTGTTCCATGCGTGAACGAGGGCGCCTGGTTACTTAACGTCCACGGCAGAGATTGACCAGCCGGTTACATAAAATGTCGTCGATTTGTGTCATGATTTTCGGCGTCGTCATTGAATTAGAAGCGCGCACGCACGCACGCATTAAAATCGGTCCTCGCCCGATCCGAAATTCACCGCGTACAACGCCTGATTACGAAAAAGTGGTCACATAATTTCTGTTATGGATTACACACGGATCGGGCACAGTCTCGCGCAATTCATGGGACGACCATGAATCGCCACGGCCTTGAACCACTATGCTCACCATAGTTTCGTCGTTCTCGATCGGTCCAATTTCACTGGCGATCGTAGCCAAAATTTGACGATCGCTTGTTCAATCGTGTTATTCACGTATAAGACGAGGTACAAAAATCAGATGGTTTCTTTTTTTTTTTAAATTATCGAATATGGTTAATTTAAATTTCAACTGTTGCTATGGAGTTTAAGACAGAAGATAGTTGGCGGTATTTCATTAACAATGGAATTGATTATAATATCATACGATTTCATCAAGAATGATGGTGATTATATAAGATGTATAATTCTTGATCTGTCAATATTTAAGAATTAAAAAACGACAAATAAAATTGCAGCGATTCTCGATGAAATAACTCAGAATCAGTCAGATGAAGTAGCAGATTATTTTCGAAGTAGACTTTCAGACATAGAGGTTGTTTAAAAAAAAAAAGTTGTTCTTCGCAATTCGACCATCGTCTATGATTTCAAGAGTGCTGAAAAATAAAAAAAAATAAAAATAAAATCGTTAGATTCCTATGCTTCATCATGTAACTGATTCTACGCTAATCGACAAGATGAAAAACGTCGCGAATGCGAACGAAATGAAACATAAAAGTTGAAAAGCGAAGATAATATTTTTTTAATTATTTAACCTTTTCGCGGACATTCGAAAGTTCTCAATTATACTTTGAAATTAACAATACAGTTGTTGCATTATTGCGTAAATATTCATTATCGTGGAGTGCATCATTCATTATCATTCATTATCATGGAATGTCACGAAGTTAATTTCTGGAGTAATCTCTATGAAAGAAAAACGCAAACTTGTTGTCACAATCACTTCAGATTCGAGCGAGAAATCGAAATAACTACGTAACTATTACAATATCCTGCACGAA